AAATATGAGAAATGAAATCTGGGCGACATTATTTCATAAAATGTCAACTGACGAAAATTCACAGCACGAAAAATGCTCAGAGTCTTGTTGCGAATGGAAGAAGGCGCAAGCAACGGGTTCCTTAGACTTTCATCATAAGCCGGCACTATCGAACGAAGTTTTTGAAGCCGTGTCAGACCAATCTACGAGGATTTGAGCCGTGGTGAGTTGCTGAATCGTTGCTTGGGAGGCTATACGCAGAACAGCAACGAAAGTTTTAATTCTACAGTCTGGCACTTGGCTCTTAAAAATTATTCAAGCGGAAAGAAAATATTACAAATAGCAAGTGACATTGCTGTTTGTAATTTTAATGATGGACTGATAAACGTTTTAAGAATAATGAAAGTGATGGACATGAACATTGGACCACAATTCTACAACTTTTGCTTAAAGACGGACGCTGCTCGAATACAACGCGCGGACCGCTCTTTGACGGACGCAGCGAAAGAGGCTCGCTCCAGCATAAAAGCGTCCAGGAAAGAAAACGAGGAGGAGTTTAGCAACCTGGAAGGTCAGCTTTACGGTGCTGGAATAGCAGATTAAAGGTAAAAAATTTTTAATAATCCAAATTTTTATTTCATTATGTTTGAAGCACAAGTCAAAACTTGAAACGCGTTTTTCTCGAAACACGTTTTTTCAAATAGGTNAAACACGTTTTTTCAAATCGGCACGCAGCATAACTCAAACAATTTTCTATTTTTTCACTCCAAATTAATATCACATCTTTAAAACAACATTCCGCATAGAAATACGTAGCCGATTTTCGATAAGTTAATATTTCGATTTTTTAGGTACAAATAAGTGCCCGTTTTTTGGTAGTAAAATGAACTTTTTTTTTCAAATGCTCGCCAATTTAACAAAAATGAATATTTTCAAAATCCCCTACGTATTTCTATAGCTATACTAATGTAGTTTAAGGAAAAATTTTTTATTTTGTTCCACATTAATTTTTGCTGCTCTTCTACTGCGTGCCGCGGAGCCCCTCCAAAAAAAACCGTTCCGCAGAAACGGCTGTTGGGCAGCCATTTTGTAATATTTTTTAATAAACAAAATTTTTTTTTAAACTTCGAAACATGCTTAACAACATCCATAAAAAGAATTACCCTTTTACTTTTCCTTCCACTTAAAAAAAAATCGCAAAAAAATGTTAAATTTTCGCTCTCTACTGTGGTGTAACCCCTTAAATCGTGAACGGATGCAAACTGGCGAGTGTGATTGAAATATTCAGCTTTATTACGTTATATCCATGCAGCAGCCTCGAGGATTTCAGACGGCGGCCGATTCTTTTGAATCTACATCAGAAAATGTGAACTAACGCAAATTCACGTTTAGGCTTGAATCTTTTGAACCAAATACTCTACTTCGTCGAGAAATGAGAAAAGAAATCAATCTGCAATCGAAAATTGCGAATTTGCGTGTAATAGGGGAATTAACGTGAATGTCTTGTGAATCTTGCGTTTCTTTACGTTAAGTTGTGAACGGATGCAAACTGAAGAGTGTGATTTAAATATTTATCTTTATTACGTTATTTCCATGATGCAGTCTCAAGGATTTCAGGCGGCGAGCGTATCTTTCAATTCTACATCAGAAAACGTGAAATAGTACAAATTCACGTTTCGGCTTGAACCTTTTTTACCAAATACGCTAGTTTCATGAGATAAGGTAAAAGAAATCAATATGCTGGCGAATNTGCGAGTAATAGGCGAAGTAACGTGAATGTCGAGTGAATCTTGCGTTTCTTTACGTTAAATCGTTAACGGATGACCATTATTCCATCATCTAAACCAGTTTGAGAAGAAATCCTGAACGGATGACCATTATTCCAACATCTAAACCAGTTTGAGTAGTATATAAAAATTTACAGATATCGAAAAATCGTTTTTAACTAGATATTGTATCGAAAAAACACGTTTCTATTTTTATTTTTTATTTTTCTATTCTTAACAATTTATTTTTTAATTTCTATCTATCAACATTCGAAAGAGTACCCTCAAAAACGTGGGGTACAGTTATTTTAAAAAATTTTTCGGTTCGAGTTCATTGATATGTATTGATTCATACTTAAACTTAAAAATTATGTCATTTGGGCCGAAATAGGTTAAATAAACATTTTGAACCGTATTATATGAACTTTACGCAAAACTCAGAACGAAGAGATGCAATAAGAAATATTAAAGAATAATTGTGTATTTATAAATCAATGTCTGGAA